TTTTCTGTAGAATCTCCCATCTCTCTGTAAAAAATGCATCTGGAACTCAACCAGAGATATTTTCTTCACCTCATAAGCCTCGTTTTAATCCTTTACGTCCCGGGTTCCTTGTGTCAAAATGGAGGGGAGGAATATGTAACCTGTGGTGCACCATATCGATGTGGCGACATCCAAAACATTACTTATCCTTTCTGGGGAGGGACTAGGCCGGATTATTGCGGTTTATCAGACTTCCAGCTGAATTGCCAAGGCGATGTCGCGTTTCTTAATATCTCGTCAACGCAATATCGCGTCCTGGAAATCAATAACACCACACAGACTATCCAGGTTGCTAGAGAGGATTTATGGAACACCACTTGTCCCAGTTTTCTTTATAACACCACCTTAAATTTAAACCTCTTTACGCCTTCTCCTGATTACAGAAACGTTACTATATACTACGGTTGCTCCTCTAACGGACAGCCTACACAGCTCCCTAACCAGTTCAGTTGCGATGTGAACGGAACCAATACTGAAAGTTTCTACGCGATGGGGGAAGTTACTGATCCTGGTAGTACTATCAGATGTAACAGTAGTATAAACGTTCTCATCAATCAGAGTTTGTTGGCACTTCCAACTGCCTCAGTTCCTCGTCTTCTTCAGGATGCTTTTGCCAGTGGGTTCTCGTTGCAGTGGGAGGCGAATAATAGGATTTGCCTGGATTGCATCGGGTCAGGTGGGCTGTGCGGGACTAATCGGGAGTCTGGCTCATTTGCCTGTTATTGTGCTAATAGAACTTCTGCACTAACCTGCAACGATGCTCCAACTGGGAACGGTATGCTCCAACTGTTATCTACTCGGCTTCGCATTTTATTTTTTTTAAAGAAAAAAAATCTCACAATTTATTTCTCTATTTTCAATTTCATTTTAAAGGCGTATTTGATGTGTAATTTTTAGAATAATTTTTTAAATAATGTGAGATTAAAAAGTCGATTGAAAATTGAATTTAAAAAGCAAAAATAGAAAATCTGTATTACACTACGTCTCTACCAAATATTTCGTAACTATAAATAATGGACAACTTTTTATTAATAATTCAATTCTTGCTAATTCGATACCTAATCTTGTCCTTATGTCACAAATTGTGGGCAATAAAATAAAATTTAAAAAATTAACATAAAATTAGACATTAATTAACACAATATCCATGTCGACTATTGAAATAAAATTTATTTTTTTATAAGTTCATTTTTAATTACATTCTCATAATAAAATATAATATTTTGAACATAAATAAAAAATATTTTTCTACTTTTTAATCATGTATTCTTCAAAATAATTACTATTTTAAGACTTATTTTCTCCAAAAAAATAATAATAATAATAATAATAATAATAAAATAAAATTTCTTTTTAATGATCGTCATTTATTTGACAATTACTTTTTAATCATTTTCATAATTTTTTCATTAGCCTCCCCAAAAAGTACCTTAGTCAACCAAAGGCAGTTTTGAAAAATGAAAAAGAAAAAGAAAAGCTTTGAACGTTCAAGGTTCAAACTTTGCGTCTCGCTCCATCTCTCGTCATCATAGTCATAGCCACCATTCTAGGGGCGGCGTATTCCCAAGACGCCACTGCGCCACCCTCCAGTTCTCCACCACCACCTGTTATGCCAACTGTAACCGAACCTTTTCATGCGGCACTATCCGCGACATCACATACCCATTCATTGGCGGAGACTGGCACTCCCACTTTGGCCTCCTGAGTTCATGCTGACATGCCGGGATAACTCCAACACAGAGTTCACCAGCAACTCGGTCACCTACCGAGTCCTTCAACTCGACCAAACTCAGTAAACCATGATTCTGTCCCGTTCAGACCTTCACAACACCACCTCCCCTTCTGAATTTCGTAATTCTACGATGAAGGGATGGAAAATGAAGTTCTCAATTTAATCTATGGATGCAATTCATTCTCCATGTCCTTGAGACCTCACAATCTTTTCAACTGCAATTTGAGTGATGTTAATTTTATCAATGCTTATTATTTAATCGGGCGAGTGCCAAATGACCCAATATTGAGGATTATATACTGTAATATGAGTATTTCTGTTCCAATTTTGAGGGCTGCGGGGGATTGAATATCTGCCTTGAGGAGGCCTTAGTGCATGGTTTCAGTGTGAATTATAGGGAACCATTTGAGAGTAACTGTTCTAAGCGTAATAGATTTGGCGGTCAATGCGGGTTTGATTCGGGTCTAGGTCAACCCGTTTGCATATGTAACGATAGGCCTTGTCCCTTTGCTTTGACGACTCCTCAGTAATGGAACGATAAATTTAATCAAGTCATAAATATCCGTAAATAATTAGTGTGGTATAGTGTCTTCCAAGAGTGTAGAGCTTAATCATATTGTACACTAATTTGTAAGAAAATATAGTGAAAACTCGCAGTGTCCACTTATGTTAAGAGTGAACAACTATAAATTGTGTGTTTGCTTTCTTTGTTTTCGGATCTTCACTCTGTTTATTATTGTTCTGCTATTGTAAGAATGGATTAGGGCCTACCTAGCTGGGAATTATAGAAATAAATGTTTAATGCTAAGCTGTGCATATTCAACATTGTCACTAGGTCTCATTGAGAGTGCAAGACACTTCTTTGGATCAGCTCAGTGCTTTGTTAAGACTATCATAGCAGGAAATTCTAATATCTCGGTGGCTTAATTCTTCTTTTTAATGACATTCTTGGATTATTATTATCATCATCATTATGAATTTTGAATTCCATTTTGCAGATGGCCTGAATCCTGATTTCTTTATATATTTGATTTTGTTTTTTCCCCCACTTGTCAAAGCATTTGTATTTCCTCT